TATGCACATTATCAGTTCATTTAACGGTAATTTCATGTGTCTTCTGCACACAAGCACCCAAATAAACAAACATAAGCAACCAAGTGAGCAATGTGCACAGACTATCCAGACAAATCATAAATCCACAGAAGGTCCAGCTAATGCAGACTACACTTTTTTTTTAATATAATATTCAATTTAAATATTAAATAGGTGGTTAGCTCCTTGGTATCTGCAGTCTGCATATATCAAACACATATTAAAGGAATTAGCAATATCTACCATTCTCCTATAGAAACTATACATGCTGGACTTATATCTGCAAAGATTAACCAACATGTATATACAGGTCTGCTACTCAAGGTCATAAACTCCACAAGTCGCCCCACATAGAAAGATGTATCAGAGATATATGCACTATACATTTTTTGTGAGAATTGGGATGTATCAAGTATGGAAAGTCATATATTCACCATACTATACCACATTAACTGATATGTGATACTGTATATGTCTGGGAATTATCTATGGATTCAGTGCAATGGCTCACAGTTCGTTTAAAAGAAAATATCCCCAAGCTGTCAGAGAGCCTCAATTCTGTGCATTTAAAATTCCACATACAGTTACTTACTAAGGTGTAATTTTTATAATCTCTCAATGTGGATGGATCTGTATACTACTGTATACGATAGTGAAAAATCCAGATCATAGGCTTTATGCAACATCAGATCATCATATGGTATCATACTTTTTTGGGACATGGTTGTATGAGCACCTCTAGTTCTTTGTTTCAAAGTGCCTGATGCCTAGTATGATCTCAATGTGTTCCTCCAGCACCTCAGAGCAGGGACATAAATGCCATGCCATGTGAGCCCTGATGCATTTCTTTCCGATGGGACTTCCTCATAGGGGCGTGGCTTTTTTCGATAGTTGTAGAAATGCACATGTTCTATTTTTGTAAATTTCTTTAGTGAAACATAGGCCAGTTCACCAAACCGGATCTCCAAAGGGCAGCTTCACTGTTAGTGAAGTTGTCCTTTAAATGTTCCCACCACCTACCTAAATATTTACCTACAGCCCCACTTCTGAGTTCTTGTGTTGCCCTGCTGAAAGCCACACAGATTTTGCAGAAAACAGCCCCAGCTCCATACAGCTCTTAATGTGCATGGCTGCCCCATTACGCTTACTGAGGCTGGAGCCATGGTATTGACCGGCCAAATGTGCGCAAGTAGGACTTCTTCCTGCAAAGCTTGTGCCTGGCAAGGCAATGCAGGAAGGACTCGAAAGTGGGGCAGAATGTAAGTTTCTAGGTATATGGGGGATCTTAATTATCCTTAAAAAGGGTGTAAAGTTTTCAGAGAGGCAGACCTGATAAACAAAATGTGAAGTTGTCCTTTTAAGTTTTGATTAGATGCTGGAAGGTAAAACCACCAGACCACCAAGAAATGTGTAATATCTCTCAGGGACTCCCACTTTCTTTATTGAAGCTTTCATTTATAATATGTTATAGTGAATGAAACAGTAGCTGCTGCAAGACACAAATGCTGGCAGGAATACACCCATGAATAGGTTCAGAAACTATGAAAGACGTTCTTGCTATTGGAGTATCCAAGACATATAAGAATCTAGTGGCTGACTCCTATGTGGCCCTACCTATAGCCAAAACTTCACTTTTTGGTGGACAGACCCTTTGCAGGTCAACTTCCTGTAACTTTTTAATTTAGGGCTATTCCACACAGCCGCCTATAGATGCACCCGTGTATCTTGACAATGCAGTGCTTTATGCACTTCAAGATTACTAAACCGAATACAGTTGCCAGGGATGAAAAGTTGAAGATCTCCTGCACATATCAAAAGGTGTATGTACACTTTGAAGTATTTGGGTGTGAGATACTGACCATTTGAGGTACTGAGCATTTTCAACATGGGTTGTGTTCACTTTAAATGACCAATCAGGTTCAGAAGATGGCTGCAAAGATGCTGCAGGAGATCAGCAACATTAAAATACAAACAAACAAAAGATGAAAAAGGAGTGAAAACAGAATTCTCTAAAAGAAAAAAACAATTGCAATTTCTTGATATAAAGTGCTTTGAAAATGTTATGTTTTCCAGCAAGGGTTTACAGCTACATAAACGGACATTTTAGTATATTTTTGGTCTGTGGATATTTTGAGGTATTGTAACATTTGCCTTGAAGTATGTTTTTGGATGTCTTTTTTTTATTTCCATATTTTGATTGTTGTATTTCATGTACAGATTTGTAAATACTCCCTCTAGTGGTCATCTGTTTTACAACTGTTGCTCTTAATTATCCTTAAAAAGGGTGTAATGGTTTCAGACAGGCAGATCTGACCCACAGACTTACACTGCGAGATTGTCACAGTGAAGGCACCAGGCAGGAAGTAAGGCTTGCATATTTATCTAGTAAATATGGTTTTCCTCCATTTTGATATGTATTTGCAAGCTGTATATTGCCCCAAAAAGTAGCAGGTTTTTCCTACTGTAGGGAGTTTTCACAGCTTTTACTTTCCTTTCACTCATTACCCTGCCACCCTGATCCACTAGAACAAGGGTAGGCAAACTCTGACACCTTCAGCTGTGATGAAACTACAACTCCTATCATGCCTCTCCGTCTGGAAGTCGTGCCTGTGGCTGTTAGGGTCTTGCAGTACCTCATGGGATTTGTAGTTGCACCAGAGCTGGAGGGCCAGAATTTTCCAACCCCCTCACTTGAAGAACTACCTAATACTGCTAGGTATGAGGAAATCGACGGCACTTTCCCTGCCTCTCCACAATGCATTGCTTGGTGCCTGCGTGCTATCTTGTGAGCCTGTATGATCTGATTGGAAGGTAAGTACATGCTACTGATGTACTTACCTTCCAGATGCCTCATGTAAATCATACGTTTTACAAAAGATTTTTTTTGCAATAAGATGATCAAATATACTGTGTATATGCTATAGTTTGCCTTTAAGCATCAGGCCAATCTGTAGACAAATCTTCATTTTACTGCTAGAATTATTTCTTTGCACAAAACAACTGACATTTGCAATGAAATTGTTATTGAAAACATGGAATGTTATTGCCCAGTTTTAGTGATCTGTGCAAAATGCAGTGTAAATAAGTAATCAACAAAAGGAAAGTACTCTGCACTTACTGATAAAATCCAAGGGGGAAAAGTGAGGATTCAGCAAACCTATTATCAAAATTCTATTTTTACCAAGAAAAAAAAAAAAGCAACTCGCTGACCTCAGCTGACTCATATCCATGAGTTCTTCATACTTCCACACAATGTGACAAAGTATTATGATGAATAAATATTTCCTCTCTCCCAGTAAACAAGTACAGGTAGCTATTAAACGATCAGCTTTTCTGGACTCCTAAAATGAATATATCTGTACTAGCAGAAATATCTGATCCATAACGTTTAGCAAATATGGATATGTATTCTCCTACATATGTCATTTTAATTGAATAATATTTTTAGGTTTATACTATTTATTTAATAAGACCAAATGCAATCCACAGCAACTCACAGAATAAACCCTTAGGATGAAGTTGGACGGACGATTTTATCACAGCGATTACCCTACGCCTTTTTTTGTGACGGAGATTTCTCGCGAAGAAATTCTTCATAATTTTCTATGGAATCGCTAACAATTAAATTATTATGGCGATTTGTCACTAAGATTCAAGATCGTCAGCAACAGTCACTGTAATGCATTTCTATGAAATGTTGCTCCAATCGCTATCCTTGGCTACAAATCGCTGAAGGAGAGCAATTTGTAGCAGACACGACTCGATGCTGTAGCAAATTGCCATCGACTCTAGCGCCAGCTGCAATTGCTGGCATTAGTGAGTTGTATCAGCAATTATTTTCTGTTACAAAATTGCCCATCTGAGAATTTGAAGGGAATCTGTCAGGAAAGCTGTTACATGATACAGATGAGTGCCATTCTGAGAAGTGGTGCTCATTCTATGTTAAAGCTGATCAATGGTGACATGTTGCAAGCCTCGGGTGTGTGTGGAAGAATTTGGGAGGGTTAAAAGAAGGCCTACCAGTTCAAGGGCCCCTGAAAGCATGGCCTCCAGACTGGCACAGCACCTCCGGGACCTCTTCGGGACCTCTTTCCCTAATTACATAAGTGCTGCAACATTTACAGTTGGCCACACACTATGCAATTATCGTTCGATTTCCTTTGTGCCCCATCATGCACAGTCCATTGTCAGGAATAATTCGATAGCTATACTAACTAACTGAATTTTATCGATCGTCAGAAAGGATTTTCGTTTGTACATGTGCAGTGTTGCTGCGATTGTTTTCATACAAAAACGCCACTTATCCATCGATTTTCATACGACTCATACGATAAAAAGTTTTCCAGCCTGACCAATCGAGAAAATTCAGCCAGGAGTACAGTAATTAAAATATTTGGTATCCCATCAACTGATCGATTATCGTACGAAAGACCATTTGGGGGCGATTTCCGCATTGTGTAATCGCAGCGTGTATGGGCGCCTTTACATGGGAAAACTGTCTCTGGCCTTAGCATGCCTTCAGTTGATCTTCATCTGACATCTGATGTGGTCGTTATGATACTAATGTTGACCATACACGCCTAGATTTCTCTTGTTCAGCCCGCTGGCTGCCTAAAAATCAATAGATTCCTCCATCTGCACTACATGTAGGCTGGAGCATGAACATCTACATGTGTATTTTTCAACAACAGAATTTTAGACCTGTACTCCTCCCCTCCTAAGGACTCATACACACTGGTGCCAGGTGAAGATGTGCTCCAAGCTCATGTGGCTTTAGCATGAGCGACGATAGATGGCAATCACTCTTTATAGCAGGAAGGAGAGTGAAATTAAACAATCAGGATTGCAGCCCCACATTCAGCCAGGTATTACATTCATTGCAATGCCAATTATACATCCCACTAGATGCATGCCAGTAAATAATCTTTCATATGTATGTAATTAGTCTAACTCTTCTAAACAGTCATAACTTTATTTTCTAGGCATCCCAGATGAACAGGGAGTACAAAGGTCTGTCAGGTAGAGCTGTGTGGTGACAGCACCTCCTCAGCAAGCATTAAGCAAACACTGGAGTCCTCGGTGCCCTTGAGGTCTGCCTATTGAAACTCAACCCACTTGAGAAAATCAGTCTGAAAGCGCAGGACCTCAGTCTCCTCTCCTGAAATCCGCCAGCCAAAAGGTATGATGATGTAGTGATTTTACTTAAATTCTGAGCACTGTAAATATAGACATTGCCTCCTTTCATTAGCCATGTAGCAGGTTCTTGTACCGTAACATACTGCTTGCCGCGTACACCTTTCTGCCGCATAGCATGAAAACTGGATCACTTATTAAGTCATTACAGCTTTAATCAGTATGTGACCAAGAGCCACTGGTTAAACCTTTGGATCAGGCCTTGGTTGATTCCAGGTAATGTGAATAGGTCTCTGTTCATTTAAACCAGGAATGTAGATGTGACCTTTGGCAGATTCAGTGCAGAAACTGAGAGGGCTTGGCACTGAGCACAGCTTTTGGACTGTCATCACACAGGTGAAGAGACATTTCGACTTTTGTAGGTGTAGGTCCAGAATTAAATGTGCATTACTTAGCATATATCCTTCACGTGTTTTCTTTACTACCAGGCACACCTTTTCTTCATCGTCTAACAATAGTACAAAAGGTTAAGGTGACTAATCTGCTAAATATATTCTGCATTCCTTTATGTATATTTAATAAATACACAAACATGTAAAATATGTTTATATATAGACGCTTCATTTTGAAAGCAGTTGGAAGTAAAATACAACTTCTATATTGAACTCTTCTTACCAAGCTAGATGAACTCTAAAAAACATTATTGTCGTTTCCCATTAATTAGGGTCCAGCTTATTACCACTTGCTCCACAAAAAAGTTACTACATATTTTTCATTGTGCTATTCCTCTAAATGCCTGTTGTTGTCTTTTTTTTTTCTACATGGGGGTTCTGTTTAATAAATGTTTATAGCATAGGATGAGCTTCCATGTTGTTTGATATTTATATAGATCATATAATTTGTGTGTATGTATCATTAAGTCACACACACACTTCATTGAATTCAACACTCGAACTTGATGCTGATATAATTCCTTACAGATTAATGTTTTCCTTTACTGGGGTAGCTGTTATATTTCGGATTATAGCCTGAAAGCTGGCCATATACTGTTAGTCTTTTTCCTTAAGCCACACCTGACTGAATGAGAAAAAAAAAACCTCTCGAATCCCTCCCCACCGGTCCATTGTAAATTTGAGCAGTATATGGCCAGCTTTAGATATTTCCTCTTTCTTGGCACCATTTAAAGATAATAAACATTTCATATAACATTGGAAATACTAATGTTTAGCATGTGTTCTAGGAGAGATCACAATAAACAGTGTATTAAAGAATAGTATGATTTTTTGAAGTTGTAAATTGTATTCTTCCTGTGCCAATAAGACACTTTTAACATTAAGGAAGGTGTCCTTGTTCGAGTGTTCGAGTGAGCAGAGCTTTTGTGACTCAATTTCTTTTAGCTCACATGTATTTTGCACCATATGGCTTGGGATGTATTTTGCATTGTTGGATATGCTGATGATTTTGGTATTTCTTTTACATTAGAATTAAATTGTTTGCTCCAAAACTGTACATAGGTTTGAGATTGAAGATGTTTAAAAATACCTATTTGTCTAAAAATATCATTCACTATTTGGAACATGTCATGTGAGTATCGCAGTAGAAATGAACAGGAAAATGAAAGACATTTCCAACCAGATCTACTTTTTGGTAGACTTTTGTGAAAATGTGTCTAGTAGTCTTACAATTACAGTGTGACATGTTGTCCAGGAATCACTGAAAATAATTTAACTTGTGCCTGGACTATACTGTGTCTAGTCTTACAATCATGTTGTAACAATGGCTATCTTAGGGCATTAAATCTTATTTTATTTTCATATGGTCAATCTTCTGTGTCCTGATGAGTCAAAAAAGCAATTAATAGATCTTCTTTTCTTCTTTGTTAAAGCCATTTATCCAGTAAACACTTCTTATTTTTAGCTCTGGGTGCTGTGACAGAGGGCAGAAGCAGTTGTACATGGTCTTCACATCTAATAGGACATACAGTATGTCTCCCTCGTAAGTTGGGAGAGACCTATACATTTTACAATTATCAGCAGCAAGGAACTAAAAGAACCTTTCATGGCTGATCATAAGCTGTGCTTGGTTATAGTTATTTCATTTGTTTGTTTTTCAGTGCAGACATTAAGAAATATATTCCTTAAGATAACAAACAGATGAGTAATTGGTTGCTGCTAATATGAATGTACATGTCTGATAAGTAATGAATTTAGTAAGTTAGTCTGAACGCTCTCACATACTGTATCTGCCACCTCCAAGGCTCTGTTCCTGGATATTATTTTTCTGCTTCATACAATGTTTGCACTAAGGGTGGAACACTGGGGTTGTTTAGTGTCTAGTGAAACATTTACTAGAAGCAATCGACCATGAGTTTGAAGGGCATTCCATTGCCAGACTTGTTCTAAGTAACAGGGTGAGGGAAATAATCATTACTGGAAAACACACACTTCCAACTGTATGAAGACAAGAAAAACACATAACCTGCACAAAGGTAATTGCACTCAAATATATACAGTATCTTTTGGATATATCCATTGAACGTAGTGCAGTTAAAGATACTTCCCAATCAGAAATTAAATTTTAGCAGCTAACTCTGGCCTTTCTAATATTTGGTTCTAATATTCCTTCAGGCTTTACTCTAATGCACGTGACTGCTCTATTAGCTAAATACTCAGAATGGTCATAGATAGGCAGAGTAATAGATGCCCATTCTAGCTCTACGTGTTCCAGAACTAGGGCCTGAATCATGATCTTTGCCTGATGGCGGTGGAGACACATGTGCGCTGGTACTGAACCTTCATTCTTCTACATAGAAGAGTAAAGGATCAAGGCCCACTTGCAGGGAGCTTTTTCACCTTTATGAAGTGCTCCAAAGGCGATGTGAAACTGCCTGATTATGGCAACTGATACTTAAAATAGTAGGCATCCTTTAATAGGCAGTCTTAAAGTTGTCAATTTCCTTTTTATCTGGTTTGACTGTGGACTGAGAGTGTGAAATGCAAGCTATTGTGTTTTCAGAGTCTGAGCACCACCCTATCATGAACACTATGCAGCCACCCCTAAACACAATAGAGTATTAAAAGGAGGCCGTGTAGCATCATGTGACAAGAGGCATCAGAACTGTTCAGTCTTAATCTAGCTGGACAATTTTATTAAACATAAATTAAGGGTAATCTGTCACATGGCAAATATCCATTCTGAATATATCTTATGGGAGTGACCACTCAGAGGTTTCAGATGAAGCTGATTATGTTAAATGTTCATGCAAGTTAAGTTATCCCTCAAACTAGTAGGAGGTTGTGAGTTAAAGGTGAGCAGCTAAATGTACAGTTGAAATACACATATGTTAACTGGCTTATCTGGAAAAGGGGCTTGCCATTCTGTTCAGGCACTTTGATAATTCATACAACTTTGCCTCTAATAACATTTTTAGATGTTCCCTATAGAATATCAGCTTTTCGTTTTCGGTTCTGAGTTCGGGTTCTAGTTCCAGTCCAAAGGTTAATTGAAAGGAGTCTTGACTTTAGCATAGTGGTAATGTTGCATGGATAGTATCTGCAGTTCACGGATTGTCTTGTTACCTGTTGGGTGGAGTTGTGCTAATATATAGAGTTCTTGAAGTAAGTGCATACAGCACTGACTCTAGGTCATGACATCTAATATATCATAGCAACAGGTTTACCGGAGAACATGATCTAAAGAACAATGACAATGAAGTTCAAAGTACAGCATCCCATTGCAACTAGCCAGATGTCACCTTTATTTGTTTTACAACAAACAGAACAATAATAACAATTTCTTGGTTGCTCTGGGTTACTGCACTTTAAACATTACTCCTTACCTCATTAAATTAGCCCAGCTGTATCACAGTCAACAGAATAGTACCAACTGTTGGGAAGTTTATCTGCACATTTGCAGTATCCAGTACATTTACCTGATGTTCAATAAACAGATCTGTCTTAATGGAATGATCAGAAGCACTCGTGCAGTAATACTTTTTGATGCAACCTGCTGTTTATTAGCTTGTGTATAGAATAAAAGAGCTATCAGGTACTATGTTTACTTTAGGGTATACCTGTCTACATTCATTGCATTGTAGGGGAACAGGTCCACCATGAGTGTCCCCAAGATTTAAATACATCATTGCTGAGGGAAATAGGTAGGCTGCTGTTGCTCACCTTGTTTTAGGTCAGTGACTCAAAAGGTATTGAAGACAGCAGATCTCATTGATGCCAGGGATACCTAACAAGCTACTAGACTACTGAACTACCGGTAGTTTGTTTAATTATTGATATATCTGTGTTGCTTTCTTATAAGAAGGTGGATTTTTAACTATGGTAGCTAACAGTCTTATTTTTTCCAGGAATTAAAATACATAAATAACTATAAATAATCCATGCTAACATTAAAATCATGGAAAGGGTATAGCTAGTCCTATCTACCTGTATTCACAGTGCCACACTCCTCAACAGTGATATTAAGTGCATGTGTCTGTCGGAAGTAATGTGTGGCCTTTTCTCTTGAGCAAAAATATCCCCAACATGACAGCATGGTTGTACCAGGGCAAATACTCAGGGCCTGATGTACCATTGGCAAAAATGCTTTACTGAAGCGGACCTCCCAGGATTTGTAGTGGTGAGGCATGATGTCATTCCTGCGTCCTGAGAGCAGTAGGAGGAAGCCTAGGTAAGTTTTTTTTCTTCCTTACAACAGTTTTGTTTTTATTTTGCGTTTGTAGACAATGTGACTTTAGGGGGCTTCCAGTAAGGCAGATTTTCCATTTTCATAGTAGCTCTGCTTCAGGGGCCCATTCGCACCTGTCCATTCTCGCATTCATCTCAATGGGCTCCCAACACACTAGAACGGGCACAATAGAATGGACATGCACCATTTTTTTTAATGCACACCACAACACACAGTAGTGCGTTACTGGACTCTGTGCTACGTTGCAGAGCATGTGCATCAGAGGTGTGCTGCCTTAAAGGAGAAGTATTGGGAGAGTAAAATATGCTCTTCTCAATACTTATAGCTGGCCTGTTTGCCGAG